AAACCGCATAAACACATTTCATTACACCAAATACACAAAATAATGTTCTTTTTAGCAACATCATATGACCACTTTAACTAGGTTAGTCAATCTTTGTGTTGATAGTAAATTGATTTTAATCACTAGGCTACTGCACTGAAAATTCAGTTCCATTAGGCAAGAAAAAAAACAACTTCACAATATTAATAATAATAATAATAATAACACTAGTAATAATTACAACTAGTATCACAAATACTATTAATATTTTCACTTTTTTGTAATATTGCACACTCTTTTAGCAAATCCTTCAATTTTTAGCATTAGAAATCAATTACTGGTCAACAAACGATTTATGATTTAAAAGGTTGAAATATTTCAAGAACAATGCATATGAATCTGCTCGATTCATAATCAATGCACTGATAAAATAAGTAAATATTTTAACTATTTATTTTTAAAACTATAGCTAATCGATTTGATTGATTATTTTGACTTGTTGTCAATTACAGGCCAATAAAAGGATTTAAATATTTCAAAATCAGTGCATATGATTTTGCAAGATTTGTAATCGATGTTTTTGTAATACAATAAGTTAATTGTTTATATGCTTAGTTTTAACACTACAGACTATCGCAAATAATTTTGTTTGACCTTTTTCAAACTCATAAACTTTGGCTCCAAAGTCTAGCCATAAGGTTAGCATTCTCGGCATGGCTTAATAGATGTACTGATTGCCAAACTGCGGGGCTCTATGAAGAGAGCACATTGAAACATTTAATTCAGAACTGCTCCTACAGGAGGACTACCAATAGAAAACATCTTACTTTCCAAAATATGTGACGATATAACGGATGAGGTTGCCCTGTCTTTCCAGTTTGTTGTCAGTGACCATGGGCATCACCTTGTCATAGTATTTGGCCAGGTAGAAGTTACCATCCTCCCATTCTGGTAACAGATGTGTGACATCCTGTATTTATGAAAGAGAAAGTTATTGTCTAAACTAGGGCTGGACAGATTTAATTGTGAAGAACATTTTAATCACCTAAAGCACCATTTTACTATAAACAACCTTTTGTCCAATGGAAAAGTGAATTTATTTTACATTTACACTATGTTGACCGCTTCATGTGTTTTAATAAAGAGAGTGTTACAGTACTTGAATCTCGTTGTAATTACATTTTTAAGTTATTTAGTTAAACTTACATTTAAGTTATTAAGTTAAAAGATTTTTCCCCATATCACCCAGCCCTAAGTCTAATCGATCTGATTCCTGTTGCATTTGTCCTCGTCAGTAAGTAACTGAAATACCTTATAAGTTTTCATTATAGCATTGCTTTCAAAGTTGGCCGTATCTTCCATGCATCTGCCCACCAGCAGCATGGCATTCCCTTTTATCTGGATTTTCTTTGGGTCCGCGAGTGGTTGGTCATCAGGAAAACACTGCTGCACACCTTTCTGCAGGACTATCAGAGCCTGATGCACATCACCCTATAAAAACAAAATTTTTTCTTATGACAATTTTAATGATGGTTAAGACCTCCATCAAAGAGATCTGCATTGGTATAAACAACATTTAGCTCGTTGACACTAATAGCTTCGTGGGCAGCGCACCGACATACAGCGCCGCTGCACTTCAGGCATCCCGAGTTCGAGTCTCAGCTCACGGACCTTTCCCGATCCTGTCCCACTCTCTGTCTCCAACTTTGCTTCCTATCTACATACCAAGATTATTTTCATAAACGAAAAGGATTGATCAAAAAACATTTTCATAAACTGAAATAAAATAAAAATGTCAAAATAAATGAAAAACTAAAACTGAAATAAAATAATAATTATCGAAAATAAATAATGATTTTCGTAATTATTACGTTCTCACCCCGTGGTGGAAAAATAGCTGTGTAGCGGTTTAGGGAAATACCTGTAAATGGTGCATCATGCATGTGAGGTTCTGACGAAGAGACGCAAAGCAGTTTAAAGCAGAGTCCTAGATGGGTCCTGTTTGGTAAACCCGCACCCGCAGTAGGCCTACTTAACAGAACACCCGACCCGTTATCTGACAGCAACACTAATTTAATTCTGTACCCGTCCCGATCCGTTTGACATAAAGACCGCGACCCGAACCGCACAAGCATTAATCTACTACAGGGATCCTCAAATCTGGCTCGCGAGATCCACTTTCCTGCAGAGTTTAGCTGTAACCCTAATCAAACACACCTGAGCATTCTAATCAATGTCTTCAGGATCATTAGAAAATCCACAGGTAGGTGAGTTTGATCAGGGTTAGAGCTAAACTCTGCAGGAAAGTGGATCTCACGAGCCAGATTTGAGGATCA